TTTGTGACAAGGGCCAACAGCAGGGGAGTTCAAGCAAAAAGAATGGATTGATGGTGTGGAAGGGTGTCAAAGGGGAATTAACAACAGAGCTCAGCCGCTGGTGAGTATAAAAAAAGAGAAATGGTGGAGGAGATGTATATTAAAGAAGAAACTTTTGTCGATATCTAATTATTGGTGAGCTGAGATGAGAGGAAATGAAGGGGATGAGGTGGTATGTACAGTAGTACCACGTGTGACATATCAGAGAGGGGGGATTCCTTTACGTGGATTCATTTTTAAAGGATTTTGTGGTACTCATGCTCAGTGAAAAAAGAAGGGGGGGGGGGGAGGGTTGTGAAGAGGGTTCTAATCGCATCTTTCAGGACCGCTTTTTTTCACCCGTCGCTCCACTTTTTTTTTAATTTCAGGGGAGGTCAATCCCTATAGTCAGGTCTCATTACCAACACGCACTAAGATGTGTTAGGGGTGGAATGTTTTGATTGACCAACGTTAAAAAACGATGTTCAGTATTTGCGATTGTTCGTGTGATCTACGTTGTTTTGATGGGGTGTTTGGCCCGCTGTCTCCTTATTCTCCCGCATCCCACGGTTTAGCCCATGCGCGACGGCGCACATTTTCTTCAGCCGCTCCGCCTCATGTTGCATTTCATCCAACTCCGTGAAAATCCCGGTTTTGTTGAGATATCGATGGATACGGATGTCAAATTCGTACTCCAACATTCGTTTTTGTGCCGTCCAGCGTGCTTTCTGGTCCATCATCTCCACACTTGTGAAATCTATACGATATTCATGCCCTTCCGAGGTATCCACCGCCCCATAACTTCCATGTTGAGGGGGATAGTCCGAGATTCGACAGAGCGCGCGCCCTGGAGGGGTTTGATTGATTAGTGCCGTTTTCACCGCCCCCACAAGGCTCATGCCGAGCCATACCGGCGCGAAATACGGTGGGATTAACGGCAGCACGGTCGACCCCCCTGCAAGCCCGTCCCCCATCCACACACGGGCAATCAAGCCAAACATCAAGCTCCCAAGGGCCACAATTCCGTAAAGCCTGCAAGCCCGACGCCGCATTTTGGACTCCCATCGATCCATCCGGTCATTAAACCCACGTCGACGGCGTAAATGCTGAAGAATGCTGAATAACGTCAGCCCCGAGGCGAGCGAGAGGGTGGGGTCAATTCCGCAAATCGCCAACAAATCGATCGGCACCGTTTTCCCTTTCCCGAGACGATCCCACAGAAGGTGAGAGGGAATGCAAAGCGAATAAAACAAAAAGAACATCGCTACGGTGTACGGGACGAATATTTTTAAATTATTCGTTTGGTAGCTGCGAAATAGACGATTTCGGTCGTTTTTGAGCTTATGCGCGGCGATCCGTCGTTCCCAGCTTAGCGCGTTGGGGTGTTCCGAAATGTAGAGATAGTCGCAATGGTTTTTTTGGAGCTCTGGCATCGCTAGCGCCATACGCGCCACGCACTGATCCCCGTAAATTGTCGGAATCAACGAAAGCGACCGAAAGAACGCCCCCCCCAAGACGAGAATACTAAACGAGGAGGTCAAGCCGCCCCAATGGGCGAGATAAATCACACTGCTGGTTAAAATCGCCGAAATAGCGCCGGCACGCCGCGCGAGAGATGGCCGCATGAACCTGTCCCTTTACCGCGAATAATCGATCGAATCCTCCGGTTTCGCCTTTATTTATGTATGGGTCATCCAACGCGGAATGTTGGGAAATATTAAGGGATTTGTGGGGTAAGAAGAATTTATTCTATTTTATTAGTATGGCTATGCCATTCGTTCGCACAGCTAAATAAAATCAGCAAACGCATTTTTTTTTTATACTTCCCTCCTCCATTTTTCTTATTTATATATGAAATCTAATCCAACATCACCCTTTAAAGATATGTGCTCTATAATATTTATGATATAATATTCATAACATGTTAAGCTTATCCATGTGAACATCTTCTGTGGTGTATTCAACGCTAGCGTTCTTTTTCTATAGTTTTTTTAAAATTCTCTCTCTCTAATTTATATGGGGAGCCATTGATGGGGCTGTAGTAGGTCCAATCCATTAATTCTATTGTAAGGACTGGTGATATTTGAGCGACTCGATGCTGCTTTCACTACTACTACTACTCCAAATGCGGCTTGGACTTCGTTCACTTGGTTCTCTCGACAATGATTGTTGAAAGCTAGCGCGATCGCGCGAAATCGCCCGCGTCTCTTTTGAAGTGTCCTCTTCGGTTGATTTATTTAAAGGCGAAGCCGGGGCAGCGTCAACGCCCAAAAGGACGTTTTCCAACTCCTGCTGGATGCGCTTTTCCTTCATACACAACTCCTCCCATCGGTCCTTTCGCCTTTGTTCGTGTTCGGCAAGTTGTTCGCGCGCGGGGGGCGCTAATTCCCCCGGCGTCTTTTGTTCGAAAAAGGTTTCGTTAGTTTTGCTAGGAACGTTGAACGCATGGCCGAAGCTGAGATCCATCGGGGGTTGCTTGAATCGTATTGCACTCGATGATTCCTCAGGTCCGTAGTCGGGATCGCGCACATTTCCACCTTTTTGGGTGTCGGGAGACGGCCTCGAGAGGATCGGAGAGGCCGCGTTTTTATCATCTATTTGCGAACGCGTTGTATATTCATTTGTTTTTTCGTCTTTTTGCGGCTGAGATGCGAGGAGCACGGAGCGTGCTTTACGCAGTAGAATCGCCTCGGTCTGCGAGAGATAGCAGGTCGCCGGTTGTGAGAGCGAGGCACGATCAGGATCGACAGCCTCGCCGAGCGAGGCTTTGGGTGGGGTTTCTCCTTCCCCCTTGGGGGTGGACTGGGGATTTATGGCGGAGGGGCCGTGCGGGTTGGGGTCCAAGCTCGATACCATATATCCCCACTGGCGCTGCCGCGCCTCCTGGTCGGCCGCCCAGGACCGCTCAAAGGCCTCCAGAAGCTGCCCCGTGTGGGCTAATTCGCGGTTGGCCGTTCGACGGCGATGCGCCTCCAACGCCTCCAGCCCCTCCCCTTCGGCCTTGTCTTTTCGTTGGGCGGGGTGGGTTAGGCAGGATCGCAGCGTCCGCACCCCGCGCCGCCATCGCCGCAGCCGCCGCTCCATCTCCCGGCGTTGGTAGCGCCAATTGCACGAGGCGAGGGCGATCGCCCTCGCGGTCGAGGCCAGGCGGCTTTCGGCCTCGTCGAATTCCGCCAAAAGCCCCGCCAGCAGGCGTAAATGCCGCGCCCGCCGCGCCCACAACGCGTCCATGGCGTCGCCGAGTTGTTGTTGGAGGGCCCGGCGGGGTTTGACGTGCTCCTCCTTCCAGCGCCGGATCCCCTGCGCGACCTCCTCGTGGAGGGCGGTGGGCAGCCAATGGGTGGCCGCCGCGCGTGGGAGGACGCGATGGCGAACGTGCGCCCCCGCCAGGGCCTCCCATTCGTCGATTAAACTATGGCAGGAGACGCAATAACACGCAAGATCGGGTTGATTGTCCCCTTTTGCCATCCCAGCCCGCGCGCCGGGGGGGGTCCCCACCACATCCCACGTCGAGCTATCGGACCCGCCCGACCCACCCACGGAGGGGCCGGAGCTTTCCACATCGATCATTGGGCCGCGAGGAAAAAAGACATCTCGAAGAACAGAAAGGAGGGGAAAATAAAATAAAATGAAGTGCATCGACAAGAGGACAGTGCATACAAGTTCGAATATAAGCTCAAGAGTTGCTAGTCGCAATAACTAGTTTAGATATGTCGTGAAAAATAAATAAAGGAAGCCCTTTGGGCGTCCTTGTTGGTGTTAGTTTACTAGGTATTAGATTCCATGCACTCCGCCAGGCATCGCGGGGTTGGTGCATCGTCATTCCGACGAAAGGTCGGGTTCGATTTCGTTTTTTGAACGCTTTCGCGCGGGATCGGACAAACGCGGCGCGTTTTCGCCCCCTTTTGTCTTCTCGGGGCGCCCCCCCCTTGTCGTTTTCTTCTTCTTCCACATTATTGTCGTGGCGTGGATGATCATGCCCAGATCGCTTTTGCCCTCGCTCCCGTCGAGGGTTGTGGTGGTGAAATTCCACTCATAGACTCCACGACGTTTCTCCCGCGAGACTTGGGCCAAAATCGCGTGATTCAGCCGCTCGAAATCGACCTCCCCGGCGGAGGTATGCCCGCGGCATCGCTCGATAAGCGCGCGCGCGAGAACCCTCGCGTCGTCGGGGGCCTCCGACGAAAAAGACTCGCAAAGCGCCTCGGCCGCGTTTTCGTCCTCCAGGAGTTTGAGAAAAGGCCCTTCCACGTCCTTCACGCGTTGCTCGCAGAAGTTGACTACGCGGCCGTCCGCCGGGTTCGTTTCCAGGATCTCGCTCAGCGTATACAGCAGGCCGGGCCAGTCCTTGGGGTTGCCGTAGAGGGCATCGCATAAAATCCCCAAATCAACGGGAGGCGCCTGGCCTGGCGGGGCGGCCTCGCGGGCTCGCTTGGGCGTTCGCGCGTCCGCGTGGGGGGCGGCGAAGACGCCTTGACAGCGCCGCATCGCGAGGGAGGGCTGGCGGATGGCCCGGAGGGCCTCCACCACGGCGGCGATTAAACCCGCGTCATTCCCGGCCTCGTCCGGGGTCGTCGTCGGCCTCTTTTTGAGTCGTTTTCGAATGTTGATCGGCTCGGTCGGGCCCCATCGCCACTCCAGCGCCTCGCAATGACCGGCGCCGCGGCTGCGTTCCCGCACCCGCGGCCGATTCCGCGCGATGTTGAAGCGCAGGAGGGGCAAAAGGGCCTTGAGGTCGGTGATGGCCACCGTCGCCCCGCCCATCGCGAGGGCGATGCCGATCACCCCCACCCCCGCCCCCAACTCGACGATGCGCCGCCCGTTCGGCCCCCGCGGCGGCGCGAAAAAGCGCCCCCGCAGCCACCCCAGCGCGGCGCCGTTGCTATTCCACAACACCGCCCCGAGCTCGTCCTCGGCCTCCTCCAGGCCTTCGCCGGCGTCGGCCTCGGGGTCTTCCGGCGGGGGGTTCGGCTCGGGGCCTTCGCGTTCGGGCTCGGGGCTCCCCCCCGCGTCGGGGGAGGCCGGGACGGCCCAATAGCGCGTGCGAACGGGCCCGTACGGACTCGCCACCTCCTCCTCCACCCACGTCAACATCCACAAGCGGCCCGGCAAGACCCCCGCTCCCACGTTCGCAGCCCTCCTTTTGCGTGTGGATGGGCCGTGTTCGATTTAGTCGGTCTGTGCTAAAATAAATCCCCCGATGAAAAGGCAAAGGGGAGCATATCGCCCATTCAAAAAACAAAAAAACACCACCGCAAATATGAGAGGGGAAAAAAGAGGGCATTTTTGACACACAACCAAGCTTCATCTCCTATAATCTATCCATATCCATCGATCTATCGCACTAACCACATCGATCACTTAAAAACCCCAACTGTCTATCGAACCTGAGGCGCACGCCGTGTATTTTAGCGGGCGCCTTTACAACGACCCCATCTGTTTTGCCCGAAACGCGTCCTGCAGGCCCTGCTCGACCTGCTCGAGCTCGCGCAAGGTGCGCTCGGCCTCCGCCAGGCGGCCCCGCATCGCCGCCCCCTCCATCGCCCGCAGGCGCGTGAGAAAGCGCCCC